TAAGGCATTTCAAAAAAGTTATATGGTAACTAGGATCACAGAATTGTGGGCTGTTTTTAAAAGTGTTACTGTTGCAATGATATAATTATTTCTAGTCTTAATTAAATTGTACTAAAGTTACTTTAAATAACTTCTAGTCTTTAGCCCTAGAAAAACGATACAAATTACTTCCCAGGATATTCAAGCAACTTTCAGGATAAAGGTCAGAAATCTTTGCAAATTCATGACAACAGAAGAAATACTATCAAAAAAGCTTGGAGCTGGACAAATATCCTGCACTTCAAATACAGAAAAAGACAGGGCTTGGGCAGGTCAGCTGGCATTGATTATTGGCAAAATTCTAGAGATTAGTCAAGGAAGTGATGAATATTAGAAACCAACAGATTCAGTCAGAACAATGTAGGATACACTGTGCAAAGTATTATTTTTTTTGAGACAGGGTCTCACTCTGTCACCCAGACTGGAGCACAGTGGAGTTATCTCATTCATTGCAACCTCCTCCTTCCAGGCTGGAGCAATTCTCCTGCCTCAGCCTCCCTAGTAGCTGGGATTAGAGGTGTGTGCCACCATGCCTGGCTAATTTTTCTATTTTTAGTAGAGATGGGGTTTCACCATGTTGGCTGGGCTGGTCTCGAACTCCTGATCTCAAATGATCCTCCCACCTAGTCCCCCAAAGTGCTGGGATTACAGACATGAGCCACCTCACGCAGCTGGTGCAAATGATTAAGAGCAATATTTTCAAGTCCATGGAGTGTTTTTGTTTTTAACTTTGTTGACCAAAATCTCAGAAGTATCTGAGAATTTGGGCTGCGCAGGGAATGCTGGTGTGGGAGAAGGAAGCAACTGAGCTGAGCTGCAGGCCTGTTTGTCCTTAGATCCCCAAACCCTGCTCTCTGTTTGACTTGGAAGGAATTTGATTCTTCTTTTCTGCAAGGCACTGACAATACCTTTCACAGAGCTGGGAGAGAAAATGCAGAGCTTATGAAAATCATCAGAAAGTTGAACACAGATGGTCCCTGACTTAAAACGGTTCGAGTTGATGATTTTTCGACTTCATGATGGTGTGAATACAATAGGCATTCAATAGAAACCGTATCAGTAAGGGCCGCTTTATTCACCAGAAGTGAAAAACGCAATGGTTGCATGAGCATTCGAAGCATACAACCATTGGGTTTTTCACTCTCAGTACAGTATTCCATAAGTTACACGAGATATTCAAGACATTATAAAATAGGCTTTGTGCAAGAAGATTCTGCCCAACTGTGGGCTAATGTGAGTGTTCTGAGCACATTTAAGGTAGGCTGGGATAAGCCAGCATATTCAATAGGTTAGGTGTATTAAATGAATTTTCAACTTTAATATTTCCAAGGGATGAGGGGTTTATCTGGACACAAGACACAACCCCATCCTAAGGAGAGGGACATCTGTACCTGGTTCTTATGTAGAACACATGACACACTCAAAGGTGTGTTCACTGACTGAAAATCCACGATTAACATTTGCTGTGAGGCTGGCTGGTGGCTCACACCTGTAATCCTAACACTCTGGGAAGCTGAGGCAGGAGGACTTCCCGAGGCCAGTTCAAGGCCAGCCTGGGCAATATAGAGAGACCCCATCTCTATTTAAAAATAAAAAATAAAAATTAGTCAGGTGTGGTGGTACATGCCTGTAGTCCCAGCTACTCAGGAGGCTGAGGCGGAAAGATCACTTAAGGCTGGGAGGTGGAGGCTTCAGTGAGCTGTGATCGTACCACTGTACTCCAGCCTGGGCAACAAAGCCAGACCCTGTCTCAAAAAAAAAAAAAAAAAATACTGGAGACTGGCTTTGGGTTATCATTCTTAATCAAAGAAAGTAATGTATATGAAATATTTTATAAACTATAAAGGGCTGCATAAAAGAGAAGCGATATTATTGTCATTATTTTGGAGGCATTGCAGATTCTGCAATGCAAATTCTGGTATAGATAACATGGACCAACACAAAAAATAAAAACAAAAACGATCCTAACAGGAGAGATCGAGAAACTCAAAATTATTAAGATGAAACCTAAGTCATGGCCATGGTACATGAGCCTAGAACTGAGAAAATGCTGACTTAATGCATCACTCCCAGGAAGACGATGTGGAGGGTTTGGCGGTCTTGATCTAGAGACGGAAGCACGTCATGTCTAGTTAAAGCCTAAGGCATCAACTCTAGGTTTCAGGAAGCGAAGGACAGTATCCATCGGTCTCTTTGGGTTCCAACACACAGGGCCTGGCTGGGTTGCATTCTGGGTGCCATACATAAGGGACATACATGCCAAGCAGAGGGATTAGTATGGCAAATTTTTGCATGTATGGAATTGCTTAAGTACTGTAGATTTTTCAGCCAGGAAAGAAGCTATCGAAAACACCTTTTATTTAAGAAAAAAATTATTCTGAGGAACAAGCAGTACAAATAGGCATGAGCTAACCTGAGTTTTATTTACCAAAGTGTGCCTCTCTGCAAGGAAGAGCAACTATGGGATGGGCGGCCTCGTTAATAAAGCACTCCCTTCCCATCAATGGAAGTGTTCAAACTAGGTCGGGTAACTTCATGTCAGGGATATCATGCAGAAGGGGAGAGAGGATTGTCAGCCCTAAGATCCCTTCTAACTACAATAACCTGGGATTCTAACTGGCTTGACAGTTTTGCATGTGTAGGTGGGTACTCGGATACGGGCAGCCACATGAGAAAGAGGTCCAGAACTGTGCCTGGTGGCTTGTCTTCCTCTCCCTATCTGGCACCTAGGGACAGAATAGTGCATAGACTGTAGGGGCATGCACATGCTAAAGGATATAGGCTAAATATGGGATACATACTGAAGACAGCATGAGGATTATTTGCAAGGGAACACTTATGGAATGGAGAGGGGAAAAAGGCATAAAAGACAGCTTCTCAGACACTGAGCTTTCATCTGCTGACAGAAGGCAAAGGTTCCTTCCACTTCTGCTTCTACCTGGGATGCGGGCTGACAGGCACCTCGTCCCTAGAACTCTGGCGCTCATCATAGAATACATCCCACATTTGTGCCTCTGATATGGTATTCAACATACAGAGCAGCACAGGAAAAGTCTGCCTTCCAACGTGCCAAAATGTGCTTGAAAAGCTCTTTGAAGCATTTGTTATGTGCTTGAAACACACAGAACACTGGGAAAGCAGTCCTTTATTTAGATCTTTTTTGTCTGTGAAAATCAATACGTCCTTTCTAGGCTTTACTGTATAAGAAAATGTGTCTCTAATTATTGTTCCCAGGTTTTCCTTCTCAGTCTGGCCCAGTAACTGCAACATGTCATCAAGCATTGCCCAAAACATGCCACACACATGAGTGCTGTCTGTGCCCCTCTCGAGTGCTAATTTAGAAAAACTGCCCAGCTCTCCAATATGCCTCCATAGTCTGCTTTTAAAAACTATTTTTGTTCTTTCCTCCCACCATGCATGGCTGAGTGTGAATAGCTGTTTCCTGGGTCCTCACTGCCAAGGTAATGGCACTCTATCACACCTCATCACTTTCAAGTTCACTTCTGCTTTGACCCCAGGACAGAGCACTCTTCACACATACTCACTTTGATCCATTATTCCCCCTCTGCTCCAGAAAGGGACTTAAAACACTTAACAATGTTGCCAAACCCTCAGTCTGTCAGACATACACAGTGATTTAAATAGTCATTGTTCTTAATTTTTCTGTGCTGCTAAACCGAAAAAGAAAATTGCCCTTAGTGAAGGGGAAATAGTCACAGAAACACCTTTAGAAAGCAGGGGGTAGGAGGCTGGTGGGATCATGATGAACCCAGCTAGGAGGACCTTCCCCATTACCTCGTAGGGCAGAAGGGGCAGCCCAACCAGCCAGTTCCCACAGGACAAAGCATTTCTGGCCACGTCGGTACAAGATTAAAACAATGATTATGATGATGTAAGAGTTTCGTCTTACACATCCATGAGCTACAACTGTTTACCAATGCACATGGGGGGAGGAGGTTACATGCACACTGACTCTTTGAAACTGTCCAATTTCATACTCACATTTAGACAGAGTGTTTAAAACTCTGCCAGAACTGCCCAGAATGGGTGGGGGGTAGGGGTGAGGAAGAGTCTCTATGTACTTTAAAATGTGAATTAATTATTCTAAACACAGAGGGAGCAAAACTACAAGTGTCTTGACATCTCTTATATGTTAAGAATAAAATTATAGCTGTCTAGGGCATTGAGCGCCCACCATTGCCCACTCTCTGTGTTTAGGCCGTCACACTTGCCTCACATCTCCCTTCTGCTGCATTTCACACAATGTAACACCTCTGCAAGGGAGCTTTAGCTACACGACTCAGAGGACAAGGTGTGTGTTTCAGCTAAAGCACACCCCGTTCTCAGTCCCTCAACCAAAAGCAGCTGCTGTGTAAGAGCAGTGATGACCTGGGAACCCCCAAATGACATATTATCTGAGTCCTTTCCATACTGAAGTGGTGTTTACCGGAGCACTGAGAAAACACTGGAGGAGACACTAGAGTAGCAAAGTCTAAAGTCAGATATCTGGGGAGGACTGAGCATGGGCTGCGGGGCTGGACATCTGCAGAAGTCTTCGCTTCTCTCGCTCTCACTCCTGTTCCTTAAGGGGCTTTACCTGTGTCAGAATCAAATGCGAGATGGGAAACTATTGCTTTGTGGGAGACTCAGGAACAATTCTCTGGGCAGTACAGAGCCGTGGTCCCGGCTGCCCCCTCAGCCTTGAACAAGGCAAGTCCTCCAGGGCGGGCTGGTGACAGGTCAGCTGCCTCACCCCGCAGGTGGGGGGGAAGGGCGCGCTTTCCATCCGCGTATTGGGACAGGAGTTTGGGTGCAAACTAGGAAAGGCTATGGTGCTTCCTTTAAGCCCAAGTAAAGGCTTGTGGTTTGGTGGACGGAAGGAGACGAAGCCAATACTGAATGCCCGCACACAGAGTCTAGCATGGAGAGGGTCGGAGGGACCGGGCGGCCGCGGCCCTTACCTTGCTGACCACGTTCTGGACGAGGCCGGCGCGGATGCCGTAATCCCACGCGTGGCAGTCGCAGTTGGAGGCGTTGTCCCCCTTGTCCGGAGGGGATGGTAGAGGTGGTGTGTCGCCTCCGTCCGCGCCGCTGCTGTTGCTCCGGTTGCCCGCGGCCTCCCAAGGGGCAGTGGAGAAGGGGGTGGTGGGGAGGCTGGTCCAGTTGTCCATGTCCCCCCACCGGCCTGAGGTGGTGACCCCCGCCAGCTCGGTGCCTTTGCCGGCCCCGCGACACCAGAAGTTGGGCTGGTCCAGGAGAAACGAGTCCGAGAACTGGCTGAAGCCGATGAATAGCGCCGGGATCCAGGTGAGCAGCACGAGGGTCTTCTGGTAGCCCCCGCCCAGGCCCCCGAGGAAGGGCAGCACCGACCCGTCATAGTCCAGCAACAAGAGGCTCGGGGCCGCAGCCGCCGAGCAGCAGCTAGGGTGCGGGCCGCCTCCAGGATGCAGTGGGGGCAGCGGCTGGATTTCTGCGCCGCCGCCGAGGCCCGCGCGTCCCCCGAGGGGCGCCGAGGCCGCCGCGTCCCCGGGCGGCAGGGAGCCGTTCTCCTCGGCCGGAGCCGGCTGCCGCCCAGGCCCGCCGCCCGCCGCCTCGCGCCGCCGGTCTATGGCCATGGCCGGGTCCCGCGGCTCCCGCAGAGGCGCATAGAGCGCGGCGGAGGCTCCGCGGGCGCCCCGGGCACAGCGCGCCGGACCAGGCGCCTGCAGCCGCCGCCGCCTAAGAGGGCCCGCGGCTCGAGAGAGCGCTCGGTGGCCCCGGGTGTGTCAGGCCGCCCCCATGTCACCCGCCAGACCCCGCGCCCCGGGCGCTGCGGCCCCGCTCGGGCGCCGGGCAGAGGCGGGCAGAGGCCGGCCGGGCCCTCAGCCGCCGTGGCTTATCGGCTCCGCGGCCCGGGCGCCGGCGGCCGAACCCGCGGTTCTCCGCTGCTCCGCGCCCGCCGCGGCAGGAGGAGGAGCCGGCGCGGCGCCCGACCAGCGCCCTTGTCGGTGGTTGCGGGCCCTGCGGGCGGCGGTGCGGGCAGCGGCTGCTGCTCCCTGGGTGGCAGCGCTGTATTTCTCCGACTTCGGGCGCCTCCCGGAAGCCGCAAGCTCCGGACCCAGCCTGCCGAGCCGGCCGCGCTCTCCGGCTCCCGGAGCCGGCCTCCCTCCTCCTCCTCCTTTCCCTTCTCCTCCCCTCCTCCCTGCTCCCCGGCCCGCCCCCTCTCCCCCCGCCGAGGTGGAGGTAACCGCGGCACCTGCTGCGCTCGGCTCCTGCGCGCTAGCGCCCCCTCCAGTCCGGACGCGCTGCCGCCTCCCGGGATCCAAGGGAGGGGGGCGGGGGAAACGGGACACCCCGGGCCCGCCTGGCGGGAGGATCTCCCGCCAGTGCTCGTTGAGCGCCTGGCAGGGAGGGGGAGGAGGAGGCGCGCGGAACAGGAGGCGCGGGTCGGCGAGGGGTCCAGTTAAAGTCGGCGTGCGCTGGGAACCTGTGGGCTGGGTCTTCTACGAGGCTGGGCTCCCGCAGCCGCACGGTGCCCCCACCCACCTCGCGCGCGCAGGGTCTCCGTGACCTCTGTCTCTTCAGAGGTGCCCGGCCGCCCCGCTGCCCGCGCCCCGCTCCTAGTCCCAAGCCCGCGGGTCTCCGGCCTTTAGAAACAACCCTCTGCGCTTTTTCCAGAAGCAAATAAGGTTGATTTTTGTGTCCGTGGAGCAGGGTCAAGGAGGCTCCTTTGCCAGTTTCAGGTCGCCAGTCCCCCGCAGCTTCTGGCCACCCGCGACCAGCCGCACCCAGTCCCAAATCTCCATTTCTTCCCCCACTCCTAAGTGAATGCGATATAAGCATGACGCGGGGATAGATCTCCAACACAAGTTATAACACACACAATATAAACGTGATGGCATTCCCCACCCCCTCCCCAAGATCTTGGATTCACGTTTGGAACGCCGTGTGCACAGGCGCACACATCTATACTCTCACACAAGAAGACAAACCTCTCCCTCCTCTCATGCTCCAGCGCCAACCTTGCCCAGCCAGCGCTATATAAATAACACCAGCCCTGCGGCAAACGGCTGCATTAGCATATTTCCTCCTGCACCCAGCGCCCGCACCAATGAGAATCATCCGGCACCTTTCACCCCAGCGTCCCCATATATTGGAGACATTCATATTCTGAGAAGTTTATTAATGGAAGTCTTAAATGGAGCAATCCATTTCTAGTCTTATTTGGGGCAAAAAAGCAAGCAAGCAAGCAAGAAAAAAAAAGCAAAAGAAATGTTTTGCTTTCCAAAAGGATACATTCTAAGCTACATATAATGAATGTATTCTTTTGGGTTTTTATTATTTGCTCAGCTAACCGCTGCATAGTTTAGTGGAATACGTTTTTAACCTGCAGTTTAGTGTTAAGGGCAACATGTGCCTACTGCATAAAATGCTGGCACAAACATATGAGAGAATTATTTCCGAAGGCTGCGGGCGGGGGGCGGGTCTTGGGAGACAAGGGAGGTCTTGGACCTTCCTGCGTGGCGGAGAAGGGGAGATTAGATAACAATGGGCGGAAGGGGCCCAAAGGGCTGCAAAAGACACGAAGCCTCTGAGAAATGGGTCTGGAAACCACATATACAGAGCTGGGGAGGGGGGAGGACAGGATAGTGCAGGTTGTGTACGTGGTAATTTTTTTCAACTTCTCATTATTTATTAGCTTAACTTTTCCTTCCCTTCTCTCCCCTCCCCTCATTTGAACGGCTAATACGTGCAAAGTTCTGACCTCTATGCCTGGAACAGAGTAAGTGCTTAATGAATGTTAGCCGTGTATTATTACTAGTACTCCTCTTACCATTACATACAATCCACGTTTCTTTCTGAATTGAAATGTAACTTTACAGATTTTATGTATTTTCCTTTCAGCGGCTAATTCTCCAGAAGAGGCCCGCTTTGTGTCTGCCTCTGCTTCTTTTCCCCACAGTCACAATGACCCATTTGTTTTCTTGTAACTGATCACAAAAGGAGCATTGCCATTGACCTTAATGGCCCTTCCAATCAGAATAACTATCATAGCCAGCGTTTCAGAGTTGGTTTCAAATTCATACTCTCACTCAGTCCTCACATTCAGCGCCCCAAGAAGTGGGCCTTCCAAAAGAATCAGCAAGGATTAGGTGACTCACTACCAGATCAAAGAGTTGGTCCACAGCTGAGCCAAACATCTGGTTTTGAACCCAGATTTTCTGACTGGACATTCCAGGATTTCTCCATTTCATTATTCAGGGGCAGATTACAGAACTATAATGAAGAGTTTACAAAGATATGTGTTAATGTGCATTTTACGTGGGAGAAGCCCTGGCCCTAGGCAAAGAGTTTCAATGTGAAGACGTTATTAGTCTTTGTTTCCAAAAGCTGGTAAAAATCCTCAAATGGTACATTCTCAGAATTTAGGGACACATTGGAAAATGGTACCCTCTAAAACTGAAGCTAAAAGGAAGCAACATAAAACGTTTGAAATTAACCATCTGCAGCACTGACCCAGGCATTATAATTAAGCTGCCGATTAGATTAGAGGTTTCCCTAAATCCCTCTTGGATTGACATTTCCACCAAATCTAGTCAAGAAGATTAAAACGTAACTAATTTAAAATAAAGTGGCCTTCAGTTTATTAAAACATACCACAAGTGACCTCATATCCTGAGCAAAAAGAATAAAGAGGAAGAATTTGACACTCTGCCTCAGGGCATGAGGTTTTAGCTCTATGGACCAGTACAGGATATCCAGACACCTTGTTAACAAATTACTGTTGTTAATTTTCTGCATGATCATGATCATCACCTGCTATTTTTCTTGTTCACTCAGTTATTTACTACCTCCGAACTTATTTATGTTCTGCCTCTAGAATGCCTTCAGGGATAGGTGCCTTGTACTCAGCTGTATGCCTAGTGGCTAAAACAGTGCCTGGCACAGGGAAGGCATCAGTACATCTTTGTTGAATAAATGAGTATAGCAAGTTATTAATCACTCGACGATACTGTCTATTCAGATCATAAAATTCTGTTTACTTTGATTCTTAAATCATCAAGCAACCTTTGCATATTTGTTCAGTCTCTCAAAGATGGTCCTCAGATCAGCCAACATGAGACCTGAAATGAATTTGACAATTATATGTCTTTTTGTAAGGCATTGTGGTTACTGGATTAGCTCCCAATATGATCTTCTCTTGGGCAGTGTAGGCTTGCAGATGGTGGCTTGTAGGCCAAATGCAGCTCACAGACCATAGGCAGTGTTTTCAGAAAAATAATTGCTAACATTTCAAAATTGGGAGATTGAATACTTAGAAAAAAAATGTGTTTTGGGCTTCTCTGTACATAACAGAAGCCTTTTTGTCCTTTTGATGCCCCCAGGTCTGCGGGACCGTGCTTTCTTGGAATGCAGTAAATGAGCAGGTACTCCCCAGCTTGCCTTCATCCCTGCCCCACACATGTCCCTCATGCATGTCATTCAGCCTCCAAAAGTGACTGTGTTTGTAACCCTGAATTTGTAGGAGTATCCTGAACCCAGTGATTTTCATAAAGAAGCTGAGTCATTCCCTTTTCCTTTGAAAGCATGTTAAAGAATCTACCAGTTTATAGTTTCCTAAAAATTGAGAAAGTAAAGAAAGGAAATGAAAGTCATAACCTAATCACCAATACACTTGAACAATTTTATTTCCTTGGAAATAACAAGAGAAAAAAGTTTTTAGCTTGCCTCTAAAATGGATGGAAACCTAATTTTAAATCCTCTATAATTCTGTAAAAGTTAACTCTAAGGAATTCAAGGCAGGGTTAATTAACTTTAAATGTATGCTATAAGTCATACCAAATGGATTTCACATTGGTTTTCTCTGATTATTCATGGTCTTTATACTTGAATTATGGATACATGCATCACATTTTAGAATATCCTGTGTCATTCTTTTTTCCTACTGCAGCTTGATTTCTTCCTTTCAAATAATTATTTGAAAAGTAGGTTACCTTGATTTTGGGAGGGTGGGAGAAAGTGATTGAAACTATTTCCAACTGTAGTTGTGTATACCTGAATACTACTTATATCATCCTTTGCCTTTTGGAATGTCAAGTCTGACTCTTTACCAAGGAATTTGACATTTACAAAACCTATCATAAATGAAAATTAAAAAGCTGTGGTTAAATGACAGAAGTAATAAAAATGTCACGTAATCTATCCTAAGGAAAGCTACAGGTAGTACCTTGAGAAAAACTACCTACTCATCTAGTACTAACCGAATTAATCAAAAGGCCAAGTGAAAACAGATAAAGTGACGATAAGACTTCTATGCAAAGAGCTACGCCATTGTAAATATGATTGCTAGGGTCCAGTTACTTTCAAAGTTTGGTCAAAATTTAATTTTGCACTCTTTTATTGAGTTAGAAAAATTAGTGAAGCAAATTGATCTAAAATTCGATGTTGGCTTCTGTTTGCTGAAAATCACAGATGTCATCTTTGTCTTACTGCACTTAAAAATGTTCTTTGTCACACACACACAAACACACACACACAAACACACACACACACACACACACACGAAAATAACACAATGTCAAGAACTTAAAAGTGAACCTTACATGTTTTATTCCAGCATGAAAACAGCCTCTTGTGTTTGTTGAGAATCATTCCAAAGTTTGCAGATGAACCTTGGGTTTCAAGTATGGATGCTGGGCTCTTGATGATGGGTGAGCAGACTGCAGATAATCATTGTCACAAAGGCTTGTGGAAAGGACAATTAAGTAACCAGAACTTGGATGAAAGAAGTTCACTTCAAGAAAGAGAAACTAATGCTCTTTAAACAAGCCTTTTGCCCTAACGCTTTCCCTACTAATTCTAAATGGAGGTGAAGAAAAACTCACAGATGGATGTAGCCAAATCTAAAAGTAGTAAATGGATTTTTTTTCTATGACTGGAGGCTAGTGGGTGACAAGAGGAATGAATGTTCCTGGAGGAGGTAGATTGTTAGACCCAGAATATACTTTCCGAGGCGAGATGTTTTGACCAAGACATTGGTTTATTGAACTTCTTTCTTTAATAAGGCTGCTTTGAATTTATTACCATTACAGAGTCACAAAGGATTTTTCATATTTAAAAATTGACTT